CTGCGCTCCTCTGTCCCCCTCCCCCCTTTTTGTGGGGCAGGGTTTCAAGCTTTTGAAGGAAGGGATTTGTCCTAGCGTTTTTTCCAAGGGTGGGGCTGGACTAGAAGACCTCCAAAGTCTCTTCCTGGCTTGGCTGTCTGTAAATGATCTGCCCTGGGAATGGTTTTTTTTTTCCATTGAGAAAAGGTGGGGGTTGGTCGTTCAGCGAGGCATCAGTTGCAATGATAGATCCAGCCGAGTAAAGGAGGATTATATGTAGGGTTCTCCTGGAAAAATGCAGATTTTTTTCAGCCTGCCTTTTTTTCTTGTTTCCATTTACAAACAGCTCAAAGGTCTAAGTCTTGTCCGATGGGCTTTTCCCCCTCGCAATCCTTTCTGTTGGTTGGTTATTCTGTGATAGGAAGAGAGGTAGGTGTCCTTCGTCCGCATTTTTATCCCATGTGATTCCAGTTTTTCCCTACGACAACCCTGTAAAGTAGGCTAGATGAGTGAGTGAAGTTGAATCGGGATCTCCCAGGGCCTTTTCCATCAACTTAAGTTGCACTGGAGACAAATTCCTTGTGTATCTTAGTCACACTTGGCCAAATAAATTATTGCCAGGGGTGTCAAACTGGCGGCCCGGAGGCCAGATGCGTCATGCTCAGGCCACGTCCACCCCAGCTCCATGAAGGGAAAAAAGTTGTGAAATGCATTTGACATCCATGAAGTATTCTGTTCTAATATATTAAGCAGAGCATTCTCAACTGTTCTTGGTCCTTTGCCATTGGCTGTAATGGAGTTGTAGTCCCCCAGTCTTTGGGAACGTGTCAGTGGCAGTGGGGTCAGTTGATTAGACTGTGTATTTTCTGAGTGAAGAGGGTTAGAAACTTGAGTTGTGGTTTATGTGGCCATGCTGGTAGCAGGCGTTTCCTAATGTTTCCCGAATGTTAACGAGCAAATGTCCAGCCATGAGGACTACAAACTTTAAACCAGGGGTGTCAAACGTGCGGGCCAGATGTATCACACGTTGGCCGTGGCCACCCCCGATTTAGTGAACCCCCCCCTCTCTCCTAACCCTCTCTTCTTCCCCTTACCTCTCTCCTCTCTTCCACACTCTTCACCTCATTTACATGGTGTATTTCAGCCTCTGAGCGGGCTTCATTTTATGTTGATGGTATTTATAATTTCATTTCAATAAGCATCTTTAATTTTAACATATATCCTTTTTTTGAAAGAAAAAAAAGTATACATATATACCAATTATATTTTTAAACCACCCCCCAACTTATTTTTGGCCTAAATGTGGACCTGGATACAATTTCCAGCTCTTATCATCATAATATTGTATATACATCATTACACGGCCCAAATTTTTAGTTCCACCTTTATAATCTCAATAATTTTCCATTATAAGTATATTTCAAGTTCCCCCTCCATTTTTCCATATCTTTACTTAGCTTACATTTAATTGTCTTTAAATTACAATACTTGCTGTTCAATGCTTATTACAATTCCGGTGATCTACTATATAACATAACAAGCAATATGCACCTCACTTTTGTTCATCTTTTTAGAAGTTCTGTATGTTTCCATATTTCATATATTTTAACCTATATTTAATTATCTTTCCATTATCATNTCCTCAGCTCTGCCCTGCAAGGGTTCCCCCGCTTCCCTCCTATTTAGTAGGGAGCAATTGTAGACTTAACAGCAGTTCATTTAGTGACCGTTCAAAGTTACAATGACTTAGGATTGTTTTTCGCACTTAGCGACTATTGTACCACCCTCTTGCTCACGGGATCAAAATTTAGATGCTTGGCAACTGGTTCATATTTACAACGGTCGCAGTGTCCCTAGGTCATGTAATCTCCTTTTACGACCTTCCGAAGAGCAAAATCAGCAGGGAAGCTCAATTCACTTAACAACCATGTGACTAACAGCTGCCGTGATTCACTTAACAACACTGGCAAGAAAAGTCATGAAATGGAGCAAAGCTCACTCAACCAGTGTTTCACTTACCAACATAAATTTGGGGCTCAATTGTGGACATAAGTTGAGTACTACCTATAGTTAAATACAGGTAGTCTTCCATTTACAACTATAAGACGCTCCGAAGTATAAGGCGCACCTAGGCATCTTTTCGGAAGGAAAACAAGAAAAAAAAAAATCTGCGTCTGCCTCCCAGCGATTTGCCTCCTTGCAGCAAACTGAAAACGGCCTGGTCAGCTTCTTCATCACAGCCTGACGGTTGCAGTGTCTCTCACATGATCTCCTTTTGCAACCTTACGAAGAGCGAAATCAACAGGGAAGCCCAATTCACTTAACAGCCGTGTGACTAATTTAACAACTGCAGTGATTCGCTTAACAACTGCAGAAAGAAAGGTCGCAAAATGGGGCTGAACTCCCTGAAAAAGCGGCTCACTTAGCAAGGGAAGTGAGTTCAGAAGAACCTCAGTTGACTTGGCGGGATGCATGCAGGATGCAGATGCTCAGCGGGAAACGGAGGAAGGTCCCAAACCAACCACGACTGTCACCTTCTCTTTGGTTGAACAGATGATGAAGTCGCTCAGACGTCCTTCAGATCCCAAGGGAAGCGAGATCTGGAACGGAACCTGGAGGGCCCGGACCTCTTGGACAAAGGCGAGATGCATGTTCGGCCGAACATGGGTGAGTATCTTATTGGACAGAATCGCATTGTTTTTCAGGCCCAGAGATGCAAGAACACCGAAGACGGTTCAAATCCTGCCTGCATTTCACATCCCTGTATTGTCTCTCTCCCCCCCCCCCCCTCGGTCTCTGGGCTCAAACTGCGAGCTGGTTCCCGGGTTGCTAAAACTGAGACCTGTTTGCTGTCATTTAAACTCATAAAATCCTCCTTTAGGTGGGCAGTACGATCCTGAATACAGGCAGTCCTCAGCTTATGACCATTTGTTTAGCCACAAAAGTTTCGACAGCATTGAAAAACGGGACTTGACAACCGTCACAGCATTCCCAGGGCGATGTGATCGAAATTCAGATGCTTGGCAAACGGTTCCTATTTAGGACGGTTGCAGTGTCACAGGGGGAATCACATGGTCCCTCTTTGGTGACCTTCTGACCAGCTGGAAGCCAGATTCACTTAACAACAGTGTTGCCACCTCAACAGCTGCAGGAATTCGGTGAACAATGGTGGCAAGAAAGGTTGTAAAACGGGGCAAAACTCCCTTCGCAACTGTCTCGCTTAGCAGCAGAAATGTTAGGCTCCGTTGTGGTTGTAAGTTGAGGACTACCTGTATTCCAATCCAGTTGCTGGGGGTGTGGGGGGGCTGCATCTTCTCACTCCCCCCCACCTGAGAAGATGGTCCTCTCTGGAGGGTGGGTGTGTTTGATTATCAATGCTTTCAGGATTTGCTGCGGATTTCCTCTTTCCAGCCTGTAGATTTTCCTCTTAGATTGTCACTGTTAACTTCTCCCTTCCAGGTTGTCTGTTTGTCCTTCTGCTGTGGAGAGTGGTCTCTGGGGCTTATGCAGAGGGCAGGCATTCTTTCTGCTGCTTTGTAGGCCATTTTCTATCCCCAGTGAGCCCCCCCATCCTGACCCATGTCTCCCCAACTGTCTTGAAGCCCAAAGACTTGGGAGGCAAGAAGCTCTTCACGATCCTTTGGCCCGGTTATTTCCCTCCATTGGTGTCTGTCTGTTTTTCTGTTTCTGGTTCGTTACTTTCTCCCTTGTGTGAATTCTTGGAGGAAGCTCAGGGTGTGGCTAGTATCTTCTGGATATAAGGAGTCCTTGACTTAACAACCATCCATTTGGCATTCCCAGGAACAAGCTAGAAAAAGGCAATCTTGTTATCCAGGATTACGTTGGGTGTAAAAAAAACAAGAATGACGCTGTGAGCTGATCCAAGTTACTTCTTGATTGCTGCTTGCCTATTTACAAGAATCTCGCTAGACAAACTGCATTTTTGTGGCAAAAGGCAGAAGAGAAGGGCTCCGGGGATCTTAAGCGGGAGGGTCTCTTTTCACCACTCTCTCCTCTAGCTGGAGATTCTCCCCTCCCCACTGAGGATCCCCTTCTCCATTGTCTTCGTTCAATCCTTTAAATTTCATGGGACAAACTGAAGCCTCTTGGGGTTCAAGTCCATGGTCAGGAGTGGATCACGTTCACTTTCTAGCTTAGGGTTGAGTTTCTGCCATTCCTTGCTAGCCAACTGCCCCTTGTCTTGGGCTGAGCTAATTTTGACATGGTTTTGCTGCCGAGATGCTCTGGATCAGACGCCCCATGTGATCTGGGGAGGGGCAACCGTTCCCTGGGACAGAGACAACGAACGCAGGAGGTCCGTCTTGGGAGCAGGACCTCTGAGCATGTCCTCAGGGTGGAGTTGGTGGCCCCAGAGGGTGGAAGAGGCCAGAGGTGAGGATGGCCAAGAGGCTTGGAGGCTCCGAGGTGGAGACTCTGGAGATTGGGCGAGGCTGGTTTAGAGGCCACCTGGACTGGGAGGAGCAGGTCGGCGAGCTGCAAGGAGTTTCCCGGAGAACAAAGAACTTCATGTAAGGACAAAGCTAACCCTCTTCCCGTTTTGGATTTTTTCCTGCAGGTGCCTTGGGGGTGGGGGGCAAAGGATGGTCACGTTGCTTCACTCCCTTTCGTCTTTCCGTATTCGAGACTTGCTAGAATGTGCTTACTTCCTTCCCCCCTGCTCTGGGAACACAGTCATGTTCCTGGACCAGGTGGGGTATGATGATCCAGGATGAGGTGGACAGTGATGCCAACGATGTGTCCAGTGCACCCATCCATAAAGCAGATCCTTTATGAAGTACAGGTAGTGTACTTACAACCTTAGTGACGTTTATGGAGTGTCTCAATCCTCCACGTCAATGTTATCCCAGAGATGTTCTTTTTCCAAAAGGCAACTTGACTTTCTGGAGTTCCCCCCACCCCCTCCTTTGAAAACCTTTTGCTTCACATCCCAGGATGACCTGAAGAATGAAGTGAAGTCCTGTGAATCGAAGAAGCTCCTGGGATGAGAAGCAAAATGTTTTTAAGGAAAGCAAGCAAGGAAGTCCAGTTATGGACTTTATACGTGTCGTATAATATATCTAGGTATATGCATATTTTTTTTATTTTGTCATGTATACTGGAGGTGGTGACCCTTTGAGAACTGTATGTCACAAAATTTCATTTTAATGTACATTTAAAGTGACAAAGTTATTCTAAGTTGCCTTTTGGCAAAGCACTTGTGGGATACCCTTAGTGACGGTTCACAAGTATGGCAGACCTTCCAAAAACAACTTAGGCCACCCAGTTCTGGAGTTAACGACTGCCGTAGCGTCTGTGCAGCTGTTCACTCTTATATGACCAACTGCCTATCTTCCCCACGAAGTCCCTGCAAGCTTTGGGTCTGCTTCCCACCCAACGTTGCCCTACATCATCCTCTTCCCCACTTATCTTTTGACAATCTCTGGAGCTCCATTGCTCAGGTAAGGGATGGAGGACAGGTCGCCCCATTGCCTGGCCATGTAGCGTGATCCAGGAAGTGGTCACCACAGCGAAGTGAATTGAGGTTGCTCTGAAAATATGGCTGTTTCTGAAAATGCACCTTGCAGCCCAGGAATAAATCAATTTGCTTTGCTTTGTGAATTGTTGAAAGTTAGGAGGACAATGGCTGGCTCATGGTGAGGAGTAGGGTATGGTGTAGCATGGGGGTGGGATTCCCCTGAGGGACCCTGAAGGGTGGGAAGTGTAGCAGCGGGTGCCTCCAGCTGCAGAGGGTCTTGGTAGGCCTGGAGTAGGCCTGTGCTAGAGCTCCCAGGGCCTCTCCTGGTACCCTAGGTCAGTGTTTTTCAACCTTGGCAACTTGAAGATGTCTGGACTTCAAGTCCCAGAATTCCCCAGCCAGCAAATGCTGGCTGGGGAATTCTGGGAATTGAAGTCCAGACATCTTCAAGTTGCCAAGGTTGAAAAACACTGCCCTAGGTCACCTAACTCAGGCTCGGCTTAACAACCCACATGGTTGTTTCATGGAAAACAGTGTCATAAATGAGGCAATCATGTTGGTGCTTCACTTAACATCCATCACGCAGGCTCCATTTCTCTAGTGAGTTGAGGACTATATATATCCCACAGTTCTTGAAAAGCAAAAGTCTCAGCAGCGCTAAAGGGAGCTTCGGAGATGGTTGGCATGAAGTGATTTCCCTCTGGGTTATTTTGGCATGAGAATTCAAGAAGCGGGGTGCATCAGCGCCCCCCAGAATTGGCTTCCATTGTTGAGCCAAGTAAGAAGGCGCTGGTTGGCTTCCTCCCATTTATGCATAGCCAGATCTGGTAGCATTTCCTTCTCGCAGATGGAAAGCAAACTATGATCACTGCAGGGCAGGGAAGAGGCTGGGTTCCCTCATATGGCATGTAGGTAGGCCTGCTGCGACGAGGCTGGAACGTGGGGTCTTCCGGCCACGCACAAAGAGGGTCCTCCTAGCCCTGTGGAGGTGAATATATGGCACCACATGCCAGAGGTGGCACGCAGAGCCCTCTGGGCACGCGCACCATCGCCAGCCGCTCTTCAGGTTTCTGGTCTGTCAGTTGGGTCTTCACATGCGCCAGAGCACCAGAAACCTAAAAACCAGGTGTGCACCGGCCACCTGGTTTTCGGGTTTCTGGCACGCGCATGCGTACCGGCCAGCTGGATCTTCCAGTTTCCAGCATTCCAGTGTGCCCACAATATGATTTGGGCACTTGGTGCCGAAAAGGTTCGCCATCACTGTCCTAGCCCTTTGACTAGGGCAGCTCACTGGGTGGATAAAGCCGTGTCCGTTGGGAGAAGCATGCCCCATGACCTTTTCTTTCAATCCCCCCAGATGACGGGNATTGCAAGTGATTTTAGCCTGTTATTTGACCTTCAGATAAGGATGAATTGTAGAACATCTCCTTTTCAGCTTTTGGTTTCTAAACTGGAATCTTTTGAACCGTGTATAGGGATTTCTTTTCCCTTAAAGAGTGCTTCCTTTTTGCTTTAGCTGGGCACCCAGTGCTACTGCAATCTGTTGAAGAAGAAGAGGGACAGAAGACTCCAACATCCTTGATGGCCTGTAGGAATGCTCTTCTGCACGATGCCACAGATGACCCTGAGCAGAAAGCATATGCAAAAGGATGCCTTGTTCAGTGTGGCAAATGCACTAAGAACTCCACGCACCAGGAGACCTTGCCTGATCACCAGTATAGCCGCAAGCGAAAATTCCAGTGCACAGAATGCAATAGAAGTTTTGCTTTTGAGGGACAGCTGTCCCAACACTTGCTAATACACGTACCTGGGACACAGTTCCATTGTACTGAATGTAATTTGTGTTTTTCTAGCCAAAAGGCGCTTACTGTGCACGAGCGTGTTCATGCAGTGGACTGGCCGCTGCACTGTTCTGCATGCAACAGGACATTTTTGGACACTGCAGCATTTGACCAGCACCAGCTATCTCATGCTCCAGGCCAGGTTTGTCGGTGTGTGGAGTGCAGCGTTTACTTTACCGATCCAGCAGCTTTGGCAGAACACAAGCGAATGCACTCAGAAGACTGGCCTTTCCGGTGTGCTCAGTGTGACCGAACCTTTGTCCATGAGGGCTTACTGTTGGAACACCTTCAGAATCATAGCCGGACAAGGAGTCGCCGCTGCCATATCTGTGGCTCATGGCTATCCTACAAGGGTTTGCTGAAGCATACTGGGGCCCAGTTGTATCACTGCAAGAAGTGTAATACTTCTTGCCAGGTTCAGGGGTCTGACTCAGTGACTATGAGTGTTAAAAATGCAAAGAAGCCAGGCAAAGGTAGTTCTTAGCCCTCATTAGGCTGTATCCCGAGTAGATGCAAATATTATTTTTGTGGATTCCTNGGTCTCCAACTTAGTCAATTTTAAGACTTGTGGACTTCAACAGCCAGAATTCCCTGGGGAATTCCGAGAGTTGAGGTCCAAAAGTAGCTAAGGTTGTAGAGCCCTGGTCTAGATGATGCCCTCCTTCATGACTGGTCCCTAGAAGTTCCTCAGGAGAACATCTGGGGAACATTGCTGGGATTTCTAATCCTGTTTGTCCACTTCTCCTGGTTCGGTTTCCCTTTGAAGCACCATCCTGGTTTTTCTCACTTAGACCAAGGGTTGCGTATGGTAGTTTGGACAACTGTTCGACTCTCAAGTTTGTTGAGAAACTTGTAAATCGGGAGGACCCGTTAAGGAGAACGGAGCTTAATGTGAAGTTTGACAAGCAAGAGTTGCACTTGCCCATCGGAAATAATTTTAACATCACAACATTTTTGTAATTTAATACAATTTTGTAATTGTAATTTTTGGCATAGCCATAGAGGGGATTAGTAGCAATAGCAATGGCACTTAAATTTATATACCGCTTCATGGTGCTTTTACAGCCCTTTCTAGGTGGTTTACAGAGTCAGCCTCTTGCCCCCAACAATCTGGGTCCTCATTTTACCCACCTCAGAAGGACAGAAGGCCGAGTCAACCTTGAGCCAGTGAGAATCGATCTGCCAAACTGCTGGTAGCCAGTGATCAGCAGAAGGCGCCTGCAGTACTACACTCTAACCACTGCACTCTAGTTACTGTGGCGCATTCTCGCGTAAGACAATAGGAAGGGAGGGATATTCGTGTACCTGAACAATCTTCTCGGTTCCAATTAGATTTTCTTGTAGGGTTAGATTTTATTTTAAGACTAGTCCTTGACTTAATAACAGTTCACTTAGTGACTGTTCAAAGCTACGACATCCCTGAAGAAAAAAAAAAGACTTGGGATCATTTTTCATACTTGCAGCATCCCCATGGTCGCCTGATCAAAATTTGAACCCTTAGTAACTCTCATGTATTTATGAGAGCCGGGTCCCGGGGTCGCAGCCTTCTGACAAACAAAGTCAATGGAGAAGCCAGCTTCACTTAACAACCATATTCCTAAATTAACAACGGGAGTGGTACACTTAACAATTGTGGCAAGGACGGTCATAAAATGGGGCAAAACTCACTTAGCAACATAAATTTCGGGCTGCATTGTGGTTGTACGTCAAGGACTACCTGTATTTTTTTAAGGGAAGTGAAGTGCTGCCAGCCCCATCTTATTTTTAAAAGCACCTCCTGGCCTAAAATCTCTTAATCTCTTAAAGAGATTTGGCATCTAAACAGGGTAGATGGCTGAAGTACAGCTGGTTGTCGACTTAACAACAGTTCATTTAATAACCATTTAACGCCACTGAAAAAAAATGGACTTGTGAATGTTTTTCACATTTGTAACCTTTGCAGCATCCCCCCAAGGTCATATGATCAAAATCCAGATGCTTGGCAATTGACTCATACTTACGACCAATGCTGTTAGGAATTCTGTTTGTAAATGGCAGCAGACAAAAAGAAGAGCACCATCACTATGCACTTTACTGCTCACTACTGTTTTTTAACTGTTGGGGAAAACAAGAAACATTACTTAGAACAGTGTTTCTCAACCTTGGCAACTTGAAGATGTCTGGACTTGAAGTCCCAGAATTCCCCAGCCAGCATTCGCTGGCTGGGGAATTCTGGGAGTTGAAGTCCAGACATCTTAAAGTTGCCAAGGTTGAGAAACCCTGACTTAGAACAAAAGAGCATAGATGCAAACTTGTAAACACTGCCGTCTACTAACATGAATATTACTGTAGTTGTATAAAACCACATTCCAACAACAAAGAGTTGTGTCCCAAGGTGACGTCATCCCCTTTTGCAATCTTGAGCAAAATCAATGGGGAAGCCAGGTACACTTAACAACCAACCGGGTTACTAACTTTATCAATTTCGGTTATTTTTTTGCAACAATTGTGTTGATGCAAAAGGTTGTGAAATGGGACAAAAGTCACTGAACTGAACTAAGTGTCTCACTTAACAGCAGAAATGTTGGGCTCGATTGTGGTCATAAGTCAAGGACTGCCTGTATTTTCCATATCAGTCAAGCTTATCTTGCGAAGGATGTGCTCTTTCGTCCAACAGATTATGCCATCGCTAAACCGGATCTTCTGTCCCGGATCGAACAAGGGGAACGTCCCTGTGCTGAGGAAGAGGAGGCAGCCACGACGGACAGGGTGATATCTTCGGAACCCAGCCCAGGTAAGGAGGAAGGGGCTAGAATCGAGGGTCTTCAAACCTGGCAAACTTTGTGGACTTCAACTCCCAGAATTCCTAAGATGGCCTCTCAACCCAACGGAGCTCACAGGGTGCAAAACAGGAGTTGGGATTGTTAAGTATGGGTAGTCCTCTACTTATGACCGGTGGCTTAGTAATAAAGATACTAAAAACCTGGTTTTGATGGTCAGTCAGACACACAGAATCGCATGCACAAATTGCATGTTTGGCACCCGGCACCTGGCTTGTGATCCTGGGACCAAAATTTATAAGGTTTTTACCCCAAACCGGCATCTACAGGCAGTTCACGACTTACAATCCTTCATTTCGTGACTGTTCAAAGTTACGATGGCCCTGGAAAAAGGAACTCACAACAATTTTTCACCCTATTGTCATAGCATCCCTGCGGTCAGGTGATCAAAATTCAGACTTGGCAACTGACTCGTATTTACCGTGTCTCAGGGCCACGCGATCCCCTTTTGCGACCAACAAAGTCAACGGGGAAGGCAGATTCACTTAACTGTATGATTAACTTAATCACTGCTTAAGTAATTCGCTTAACAACTCTGTCAAGAAAGTTCGTAAAACTGGCACGCAAAGCTCACTTAACATGCTTATCCACGGAGGATTTGGCTTGAATTGGGGTTGTAAGTCGGGGACTACCAGTAAAAGAATATCTGCTGTGAATTTTATAATTGAATGGAGCCATGAAGTCATGCCAGGGCCCGATTCTCCAGCGAAAACCCCTGTCGTGCTCCCGTTGGAGCCTGAATCCGTGGAGCTGAGGCCTACGGAGGTCGAGGGGCTTCGAATAAATGCCGGGAGGAGCAGGACAAGGCAGACCCGGCCCCTCTGGCTCGGGACAGTTGCCAGCAGGGAGGATACAAGGAGAGGATGACGAAGAGAGGGCAGTCAGTGGAAATGAGGAGCGACGGAGCTCCGGCAACAAGCAAGGACCACCCGCTCCTGGTATCTGAGCACGGAGAATGGAGAGGAGACGTTCACCGTGCAGGCCAACCCCACCACTCAGGAGGAGAGCACTCCCCCCTCCCTCTCTCTGAACTCTTTGCTTGCATAATGTGGGAGCGTTATGGGGAAAGTAACTCTCAGCTGTCTGGCCTTTGTGCCTTGTCCCGGGTCATCACAACCTCTCTGTATTGTCATCCAACACAGAAATCCTGGTTTTCAGACCCTGCCTCTCCTCCCCACCGGAAGAAGGGGCTTGTGTGCAAGGAGGTCAAGAAGGGGAACATGGGGAAGGACGGAGGGTCCCACAGGCATCTGGCATCGGTAAGTGGCAACTAACCACGTCTGGAAATTTGACACGTTTTTTTTTCCCAAGGTCTGCAGCCTCCAAAAGGGGCTTGGTGCCAACAAGAATCTCGCCAAATGCCAAATAAAATCTTTTTTTTTCGGGTTTCCCTCGCTGGCCAAAATGTTGCGAGTCATGGGAATTCTGGATACATGGGAATTAAAGAAAAGCTATAAGAAAGAAAACACGCTTTCCGTTTTAGAAAAACATTGAATGCAAAATGTATTACAATACAGGTAATTGTAGGTTTAGGTTTTAGGTTTAGGTTTATTANAAAAGGTGGGGGTTGGTCGTTCAGTGAGGCATCAGTCGCAATGATGGTTCCAGCTGAGTAAAGGAGGATTATATGTAGGGTTCTCCTGGAAAAATATAGACTGTTTTCAGCCTGCCTTCTTTTTTCTTGTTTCCATTTGCAAACAGCTCAAAGGTCTAAGTCTCACCTGGCAGTGCCCTTTGGGCTTTTTCCTTCTGCAATCCTTTCCATCATTGGGTTATTCTGTAGTAGGAAGAAAGGTAAGTATCCTTTGTCCGTGGGGTTTATATCCAGTGTGATTCCAGTTTTCCCCCTACAATGACCCTGTAATGTAGGCTAGTGAGTGAGTGAAATTAAACCCAGATCTCCCCGGGCCTTTTCTTTCACTTAAGTTGCATCAGAGACAAATTTCTTGTGTGTCTAATCACACTTGGACAGATAAAAAGTATTATATTCTAGGATATTAAGCAGAGCATTCTCAACTGTTCTCAGTTCTTTGCCATTGGCTGTAATAGATGGCCAATGGGAGTTGTAGTCCCCCAGTCTTTGAGAGTACTCCAGTGGTGGTGGGGTCAGATGATTAGAGTTTGTATTTTCTTAGTGCAGAGGGTTAGAAACTTGATGTGTGGTTTATTTGGCCACACTGGTAATAGGCCTTTCCTAATGTTTCCTGAATATTAACAAGCAAATGTCCAGCCATGAGGATTAGAAACTTATCTAAACCAGGGGTATCAAATATGCGGCCCGCCGGTTAGATGTGTCACATGCTGTACACACCCACCCCTGATTTAGCAAAGGGGAAAGAAGTTGTGATATGTCATGTGATAACAATATAACGCCACGAGTTTGACACCCTGATCTAAACAATGGGAACTAGAAAAAGTAAGGACTGGGGTTGGATGACAAACATCTCAAGCAGAATACAGATGCTAAACCTTAGCAGCGGGTGACAAGTAGTCCAGTTGAACTTTGTAATTCTTGAAATGATGCCTGTCTGAATTTGGTGAAGAGTTGCATGCAAATTTCTCTTTCCCTCTAGCCTGAAAAGCAAGCTTCGGGGTGCAAGTGAGCCTCAGAGTTGGCCTCCCTTCTGCCTTGAAGACTTCAGACTGGTGTGGGATGGGGAAATGA